TATATATATATATATCACACATATGTAGATTGAAAGCTGTTGCTATGTTAACTGTTTTATGTGTGTATTTGCAGCTGGCCTTCCAGTGAAGACAGACATCACCCCTGGTCCATCTAGACTCTGTTCTGGGGCCAGACGGTCGTTTTTCTGCAGGATGAAATGCAACAGACCCTCTGTCAAAGTAGAGGATAAAGACTTTCCCTCCACCTGTTCTAAGAAAAAAGGTACGGCACTGTTCTCTTAAAACATGTTATAAGAGTGATAAGTGGAGTTGTCTTTGTGTAAATGTCACCCACAATCCTCTTCCTGCCATTAAATGCTTAATGCTGCCTCTCCCAGAAGGCCTTGTAGGAGAGGCTTTGTGCTGCACCCCATCAGTTTTCAACTTTGAGTGCCAGTTTTCAACTTTGAGTGCCAGTCAAGGACTCTTTTCTCCCTTCAGCCTTTGCGTCACGTACTACGTAGTTTTTTTTTTTTTTTCAGCCTTTCAGTTACCTCCTTATAAAAGCAAAAGCCTGATTTCCTGGTGTGCCTCTTATTCTATTTTTAGAGGCACATCCTTATTAGAACCAGGCATCACACCTCAGTTAGCATGAGAGCGTCTGCGTTACACAACCAAGGAAGTTGGCCTCTTTAAGTTCATGTATTTAGTAATGTATTTACTGAACCCTTATTTCACCAAACTGGCCTGTCAAAAACAGAATCTTGCATACAACTCAACACTATAGCAGCACTTCTTATGGCTGCTAAGCTGTTGGATAAGGTGTTGCCCTTCTAGCCACAGCTGAACTGTGATGTCAAAGCAGGGATTTCCAAAGGTAATTATAGCCCAGAGAGATTTAAAATAGCACTAAATGATCAGTGTTTCTGGTAAAATGTGAGTAGAACTTGCAATAGTCATGGGACTGATAATTGCTGGAATGAGTGAGGCAGTTTTCACTCTTGTAGTTGAGTTCATTTGGACCAAAAAAAAAATAAAAATGATACTCTATATACCTCACTTGTTTGTTCTTTAGTGGCTTGTACGACAGATTTAGGAGAACTTGCGGCATCCACCAATTTTCTCATATTTTGAATGATCTGCTGTCTGCAGTTCACTATCAGAGGACTTTTGCTTTTGAATTGATGCTTAAATCATATATCATCATCATCTATTATCACAAAATACTGTGCTCGGTCTGCTTTGCCTTCAGACCACAAATGCACTAGAGTGTAAGAGCTTTGAAGTCAAACAGAGGCTCACCTTTTCAGACACTCTCGGTCCGGTTCTGTAGTTCGTATCAGAGTTCAAGTCGCAGCTTTCAAACCGTGCTAAGTGAACGCACCAGGGTTCAAGTTATAAGTGAAAGCACCCCGAGTCAACTTTGCACACGATGATTTTTAGCAGAACACTAATGGTACAGTGTTACATCACTTGGAGGTTGGGACACACTAGGCAGGAAAATTAAAAATTGAAGTTCTAGATGGCATCGGAAGCAGGGTTGCAGTCAGTTTTAATGCATTTTCGTACTGTCCCGGCAACTGGTAACACACAGGAGAGACACAACTTTTGTAGTTCCTTTATATACCACAGAAATGTCAGTTGAGCCATAATGCATTAAACGACTGCCTGAATTATTCAGCATCACCATGAATTCATTGTCTGCTAATGAGACTCAAGCTTTTAGCAAGATATAAGTCTTTATCTCGTCACACTTTAGGAGGGTTTGTTTTCTGGCGCGCTTCCTCTTTCTGTCCAGCTCATTGCGTCATCTGTGCTGCAGTGGACTGAGAGCAGATGAAACATATGGCTTGTCGCCCTGCCTAGTTACTGATGGGGTGAACTGGAGTGTAAACTAAGTGTCTTTTATAGTCAGAAGAACATTTGCAGGCCATTCAAGCTCAGTCACGCAACCCAGATTGGCTGCGTCACCATTCATGTTGAATGAAGTCTTAGTGTTTAGCTAAATATTTCATAGAGGCAAACTTTATTCTCCCTCTGATGTCGTGCTTTGTGTTTCACTGTGGGAGGAAAAAGAGTTAAGTTTTGAAAATGAGATAGGAAAGAAAACAAGTCATTTAGAAAAAGGCAAGTAAGATAGTTGATATTTCAGTCCTGCAGGACCACCCAGTATATGGCTGTTAAAGGGTCAAGTTCAGTAAGCACGTCACATATAGTTAATTTACGAAGGTGTTAACTCCAGTCCAGAACTCACACCTACATCTTAGACAAGCTTTCATCTATTCCTGGAAAAAAGTTTTGCAAGATTACTACTGCTTCAGTGAAGAGCATGAAGCATTTGAACTGTAGCAGCCCCTGCCTAATACATATTGAACAAGAATATATCAACTAACTGCTAACCGCCAAGACATTCCTGATGTGTGTGATGGAGTTCCTTCTTTCCCATCTAAAGTAGAGGTGCAGCTACATGGATTGTCTTGTATAAACTAGATAACACACCCCTTTGCAATAGGTCAGTGTTAAAAAACTTTATTACCCAGCTGTTTTACAGGGACAGAGGAAATGGAGAGATAATTATTTTAAACTTGGAACCTGCTGGTACTTAGTCTGTTAAAGTCTGCCTGTACAGGATGCAGGCCGAGTGTGAACCTATTGTGACATCACCCATTGGTTTATGGAGACCGCTTTGGCATTATGTCTGTTACCATGTTGATTTTTTTGCCACGAGCAGCGGTGACGCACTGCGAGTTTGGTTTCTACTCATCCGTAGCAGGAAACAATGGCGGCTCGCCTCGTCACACACATTGTGTATCACTGTAGTTATAAGCAGAAAGCAGAAGAAAATAGACCACTGAAAAATAAATGTGTTTGAAATGCATCCTGTGTGCATAAGCCAAGGAATGAAACTCTGTCTGTATCTGTTGGAATGAGATGAATGTTATGCTGCGTATATTAAACTAAATCATTTAGAGTCCTAATCTTAAACCTTCGACTGAGATGAGAGTCATTTAATGGTACATTGGAGTTCAGCCTAGCCTGAGCATTTTCTAATTGACTTCCTGTTGTGGATGATGTAAGGGAAAATCTAGCACTGGTTATTTACTGTGTGAAGGCAAACTGCTCCTCTAGGGATGAATGCTCCCCTGGGAAGCAGGAGGGTTTTTAAGCAGAAACTAAATGTGGTTGTGAAGTGAAACATGGATTGTGCTCATTCATTTTTTAAAAGAACAATGTCAAAATGTATTAAACAACGTCCTGAGCAGGATTTTGGTCTAAAATAATAATTATAGATGTAGCTTTATTATGTTGGTAGCTGGTTGTAAATCTTAACACAGTAATATTATGTTAAAACAGGAAAATAAAGCAAGCAAACAATAAAGCACATTATTTTGTAGCTTCAGACAGTATTATGCTTTTTTACATGTTCAGTTTACAAAGAATGCTTTTGTCTCATCTGTTTTTATTCATTCTGTGGAGCTGTCACATTTAAACTCTTAAAGACAGCATGAAAGATCTTAAATGTGGCTTTCTGAATCCTGTTTTGTAAAGATTTCCGCTGTAGATCAATGCAACACATCACTTTATCTAGCAAGTTTTCCGTCTATCTGACTTTCATCAGAGGATACAAAATACAGCAATGTGACAGGCAGGTGCAAAAAACCAGTCCCAATCATTGGCAGGAAGCATAACACTGTACTCTGTGCAAAATCCTATTTTGTAATCAGAGCTGCTTTTATTATCATAAATGTAATTCAGTTCACTGAACTGTAAGAATCTCCCATCATCCTCGCAGCATGGGGATGGCATCCCACTAAAATGGTCCCAGTCCATTTCCAGTTATAACCTTTAACGCTGCATCTCTCTCCCCCGACTCCCTTCGTTACAGCGGACCGTAAGAGCTTCTGCACCATCCACAGCACGGGCTACCTGAAGAGCTGGCCGCCCACCAAGATGGGTCTCGACGAGGACAACGAGCCCGACAACGAGGGCTGCAACCTGAGCTGCCTGGTGGCCATCGGCCGCCTGCACCCCCACATCGTCCCCCAACCCAGCCTGGCAGACATCAGGGTGAAGCCCACCGAGTATGTCTCCCGGCACGCCATCGACGGCAAATTCGTCTTCGTCGACCAGAGGTGAGACGCGTGAGAGCTCTCTTGGATCAAACTGAGACTAAGGTTGCGCTTCAAATGTGACCTACTGAGCCTTGATTTCTTTTTATGATGGGAATATAAAGTTCAACATGTGCCAAGTCCTTAGCAGTTAAGCTTCCTTAGCTTATCTCTGTGTTTATTTCTGGAGTCTGTAGTGTAGGGTTGTTTAGAACATTTTGTTCTCACTGGGAAAAATATAACAAAGCAGGAAAGAGGTCCACAGTGACTGTGCATAGATGAGATAGAGGCCACAAGTGGAACTGTCTGTATTTACTGGTTTTGTACCACCACTGCCCCTTGTTGGTGAAGTTTGACTTCTCCCCCCCCCCAATCATCATCATCTGTCCATTTCTGCTGATACTGCAGAATGGAAACCCACTGTCAGTGTACAAATCATGTGACTGTCCTTATTCATTCCCTCTTACCCCTTTTCTAGTTTCGCTGTTTAAAGAAAAAAAAAGTAAGGGAGAAAAGGCTTTATTGTAAAATGCAAGCTCTGTAAAATCATAAAGAATCTTTTTTTTTACGAGCCGATCCTTAATAAAACTAAGATAATACTGAAAAGATTTTTTGTGTTTAGTATTCAGTAGTCAGTATCGTTTCGATATTGAGTATTGTGATACTAAACCTTATATTAGAGTTTTAACCTTAAAAAAAGCTAAAAAAGCTTTGTTTTCGGTGCATATCATTATGTTCAGGACTTGGTTGTGAGGGGCCACACATCTGTAGCTGTGAATAACCACAACCTTTCTCCTTTTTATCTGTCCCTCCAGAGCCACAGCCATCCTAGCCTACCTGCCCCAAGAGCTGCTGGGAACCTCCTTCTACGAGTATTTCCACCAGGACGACATCGGCCACCTGGCGGAGTGCCACAGACAAGGTACCTGCTGAGGGATAGACAAAGTAACTTAATGGATGTTAATGGTGCAGCCACTAAGCTGAGTGAACGAGTCCAGTCTTTAATACGTCTGTGTGTTTTTTCCGTCCACAGTGCTGCAGATGAGAGAGAAGATCAACACCAACTGTTACAAATTCAAGATCAAAGACGGCTCCTTCATCACGCTGAGGAGCCGATGGTTCAGCTTCATGAACCCCTGGACCAAGGAGGTGGAGTACATCGTCTCCACCAACACTGTCGTCTCGTAAGTAGCCGAGGACACTCACACCTCTATATCAGAACATACCAGAACATACCAGAACATACCAGAACATGTCCACATGTGTGTTAATCTCTCCAGGTGTCCTATGATGGAAGGATCAGATTACCCTCAATCTGCGGCCTCGCCACAGAGCATGGATAGTGTTCTCACCTCAGAGGGTAAAATACCACTTCACACCAATCCTTCATGTTCAGCTAATTTATTTTAAAAAAGACACTGATGTTGTCACTAATGCCCTGCATTAATAAACTCACAATGAATAAAATCTCCTGTTCCTGATTGCTGTTGATTGGCAGGTGGAGGAAGGCGGGCGCTACAGACGGTGCCCGGCATCCCCGGCGGCACGAGAGCGGGAGCCGGCAAGATCGGACGCATGATAGCAGAGGAAGTGATGGAGATCCAGAGGTGAGAGCACATGGAAATGGTGTATTTTTCAGTCTGTTTGTCCTTGCCTGGAAAATCTCTGTGGCCTAGTTTTTAATGCGGATGATGGCGAAGGAGGCGACACGCAGAGAGATGTTATGGCGTGATCAGATATCAGAAGCCAGCTCTAGGTGCTTGGCAAATTGGGAAAGTTACATGACATAAAATATGCAGGACTTGACCTTTTCACACAACATATCACTTTGTATGTTTTGAATCGTTTCTGATCATGTGAAAAACGTGCCACGAGTTGTTTGCAGTGTAAAACAGGACACTGTGTTCATACTGCAGGCTCTCCGGCTCAGCTCTGAATCCTGCGGGCTAACGCTGACTCAGATAGCTGCTGTGGTGCTAAAATTACACCAGTTATTTCCACTGATAGATATAATATCTACTTATTGTCATGGCAACGCCGACAAATTCCGGTGTTAAAAGTGTTAAAAATATGCTGCATGTAGGTCACATGTATCAGGATGTGGATGTAATTGTACCTTTTATCGAGGTTGGAATGAACAACTGTGACTCAGGGCAGGTGTTTGCAGCTGAGATTGAGGCGAAGTGTGTTTCAGTCATTGCAACCATCTGTGTGTGTCTCCATCAGGATTCGAGGTTCCTCCCCCTCCAGCTGTGGCTCCAGCCCCTTGAACATCACCAGCACCCCTCCACCCGACACCTGCTCTCCAGGGGGCAAGAAGGTAACACACACACACAC